ATGATGATGATGATGATGATGATGATGATGATGATGATGATGATGAAATTTATGATAAAACGAAATAAAAAATAAAATAATAATGATAATATTAACTGTAATAATAATAATAATAATAATAAGAATAAGATAAATTAGAATATAATTGATATACGTCATTATTCTAACATCAACAACGATTTATACGATAGAGAATTAAAAATCAATAAATTTTGGCGATATGGCAACATGTATGGGCAGCTGACAGCCACAACATCACTCGCTGGCAGAGTTGCCAACTTAGCGACTTTGTAGCTAGATCTAGAGCTTTTTGTTTTTTTCTAGCGACATTTTAGAGCGATTTGCGACTTGTCCCAAATCTAGAGATATCCACAGAAATCTAGCGACTTTCTGGATACTTTTGGACTGTCCATGAAAACTCGGTTTTCCTAATTTCGAGCCATAATATATAGCAACGGGGTTACAGGGACAATACATTTGAACGGGTTGAACTCATAAAACAACTTCGTCAACGCTTACCTGACAACATTCGTGTGCTGCAGTCTATTTCTTTTCTGAGTGCCGATGAATGCTTGAAGCCTATTAAATCAGATATACTTGGTTTGGCACACTTATTTACAAAAGATTCCAGCACCCTTACCAAGATTGATTTCCAGTGGAAAAAACTGCATCACACAATCTGGACAGAAACATCTAACACCCTAAAATTGTGGTCAGAAGTGGCAAATTACAGAGATGCGACAGGTGAAAACCCTTACCATGATCTGGCTGAAATTGCACTCGCTGCCTTATCTCTTCCGCATTCAAACGCAGATGTAGAGCGCACATTTAGTAATATGAACTTTGTGAAATCAAAATTGCGCAACAAAATGAAACTATCGACATTAAAGGCAATTTTTACAATAAAGTATGGGTTAAAAAGACAGAACACCTGTTATGAACTTCCTAGTGATATTTTAAGAAAGATAGGGACTGTGGAGGCATACAGTTACAAGAGAACCTGAACCAAGCACTTCACATGCTTCCAGCTCTACAGTTGTTCACACTACGAAGAGGACTGGGATGCAATTACTATTGAATAATAGGTAAGTGTGCACATTAAACTTTAAAAAAAATAATATTTTTATTTTTACACAATGCATTTTATTTATACTCCGTCCATTATAGTCGGCATTATGAAAATATTATTTGCATCAAATTACTGAAGGGGGGGAATAATAGCTAGCGACTTTCCATGGAAGATTTAGCGACATTTAGCTACTTTTAGGTACCAGCCCAGCGACATTTGAAAAGCCGAGTTGGCAAACCTGGTATGGGCAGCTCGACAGCCACAACATGACTCGCTGGTCGTGTCCAGTACATGGTCAAGGTGGACGTGTGCATTATTCCTTCATTTTTGACAATTTCCTTAAAGCTTGATACTCTTTCGGTGTTATATACTGATATAAGTGGAAGTGTTCGGTGTTGTGAAGTGCTGGAGGACCCGTAACGTGAAGTGTTGTGTTAATATATGGGAAATATTGGTTAAAAGGTGAAGTGACTCGATGAGATTAGAGGATATTTGTCACTGATGCCAAGTGAAGTGTTATGGGCCCATAACTTGATTGGATTAATGGAAATAAATAGTGTTAACGGAGGTAGTGAACCTAATTGAAGGTTAAAGAAAAATTCACGCGTGGAATCCCTTTTTCTAGTGAACATTAAAAGTACGAGACGAGGTACCGTAGTGAATTTTCCAAGTGTCCTTTTTGAAGTGAAGTCAATTAAAACATGTGGGAACTACAAGAGTATTCACCACAGTTAACTACACCAGGACTTGATTCACCCTCCGCCAGGAATTTAAATTAAGGTATGATTAAAACTTTGGTTTGGTTAGGTATGGTTAGTGTTATGCCATCTATTACAATTGGCACACAGAGCTATTAAAATTGTTATGGGTTAATACGTCTGACTCGCCGCTACCCCTAGCAACAACATCAAATACAATATCATATCAGTACACTTTACATTCAGAAACATTAAGAAAATCTAACATTAAACTTTACCAACAACTCGAGAACGTATACCAACACACACAGTAGGTTTAGGTCTGGTTTTGTTGGGGTTTTTACTCATGTGTATAACGAAAAACCGTCCCTGCCTATTAGGTTTATGGACATGAAGGTTATGAATGGCCTAAGTAAAACATATTACATTCCTTGCAAGGAACTTTATAAATGCAACTAGAATTAAACAACACAAATACAACTAGCCATTCGTACCAGAAAGGTTTGTGGAAAGAAAGTGTTATGAGAATTTGTTGTACTGTACATCTTAGATGTATTTTGTTAAATACATGAAGGTAATGTTTTCTCTTTTTGATGAATAAATTATTCTCAAGAATACCTAATTCAAAATAATAATATAATGTCCTGAATGGTATTTTTGAATTTGGCTTTTACAAGGAATTAGAAAAAGAGCACTGAACTGTAAAGAGGAGTAGCATTAAGAGCCACAGTCCTCCTCTAGCCAATTTACTGGTACTGTATATGCAATGAATAGATTATAATATGATCAATATGCAAGAGTTTCAGACTAGTCCTTGGGTAGTACTTATTACTGAGTTAATGAAAAATACTTGAAAGTCATTTATTTGCCTCACTGTGCAAAAGAGTGTGTATGGTAATAATTAATGTCCCCAATTGGGCTAATAATACATTTTTGTAAATTTGGGCTCCTCATTGGTGCCTTCCTTATATTGTCATGTTTCACCATAGATGGTCAATATGATTTGGTTATTTGTCCTTGATGTTATCATTAAATGCTTACATTTGTTTGAGGAAAGGTTTGTGCTTTGTTTACAGCATTATGCATCATCACTGTTCCTCAAGTTCTAGGTATATGTGTGGATACCATCTAAAATATGCATTAATATACATTATGTATAAAATAACTTTGTTAAGTACTGTATCGTAAAACCTCTGCTAGCCTTAGGAATACGTGTACACAAGTTTGTGGTCACTGTTTTACCAGACGGGATAAGAAAAAATAAAGGAAATTTAAAGAAACTTGTGAATTATGTTTTGATTTTCACTGGGCTGGGCAGGAAGCCATCACCCATTACAGGTGTCGTCCAATGCTTAGTACAGTATCTTTATTAAATACAGTAGAAAAACAATTAATTGTTTCCCATTATTTGCAGCCATCTATCATCTTGTGGTCTGTAGTGCATCAAATTATTCCAGCTGGCTCAGCTGCATTCAAGCTGACAGGACTAGTAGGAATATTTTCGCCCAATTTTCTTTGAAAAAAAAAGTCCAGAAAAAGGAATACTGTACAGCATTTAGTTTTCTAGTTATCCAGCTAGCAAAGATTTTACTTGGAGACAAAGTTGTTTATATTAACCTGTATCAGAACAGTCCTTAAATTAGTTACTTTAAACATAAGTTGAACTTGATCCTTATTGATGTGAAAGCACATTGCAGTACACAGTATGAGTTTAATAAATGGTGCCTAAACAACAAAGGTGAGAGTTTAGCTCTTCAATCTTCTACGTAAATGACAAAATATACATTACAGTACAGTACCTGTACTAAATTAAAGTACTCTACTGTGTGCCTGTCCAGGATAAAAGTCTGTATAAGTGAAGATGTTAAGAACTGAGGATCAGTCTTATGGTTATTGTCTCATAAATATAAAATTACTGATAAATTTAGTGAATATTAATTTTCGATCGTTTAATATGATGTGGCTGGAAATGTGTAAATACTCTCTTCATTCGTTATTACCCACAGCATTCACTCCTATAAGAGATGTGTTCTTCCAAAGTTGGGTGTATCTTATCGCTTCATACAATCTAACAAAACGTCCCTCCTGAAATATAACTATGCTGTACTGTGCTTCATATTTACATGCACACACTTGCTTTCAGGATGTCCATTTCCCCCACTTTTATTTCAGCCCTCGCCTTGTCCTTCCATCTGGGATATCCCCTCTCCCTACTTCTGTACTATGCTTCTACTCATCACTGGAACAGACCCTCTTCCTTATTTATGTTTTTCCTGTTCCTACTATCATGAACATGCTCTTCATTCTCGTCTATACAGTAATGTTGATTCAATAATTATCGTTGTACATCTCAATTATTGCCATTTTTATATGGAACTCTGCATACATTTAAATATTCCCACAATGTTCCTCAAAATGCTCAGACCAAATATAACTTTCTCAAAATAAGTACAGTAAAGTATCACAATAGATCAACATTAATGTAAAAGGATATCCATGAAATAGAAACATATTTTTTTATTCTATCTTAATGCAAACACATTCTATTATACATTAATGTACAGATTAAATAAATTATAAACTTTTGTTATTTTTGTTTTAGGTGCGTGAGGCCAAGAGTGCCAAGCCTCGTACCTAGTGAAGCAAACATGGCGGACTTGGAGTGTAAAGAACGATTTGACAGTCCAGGAAACAACTGGCTGAGCCCTTGGTAAGACATTTAATAACAATATTATATCAGATATATAATAATTATAATGCCAAGTGCTTATTATATATAATATTGTGGCGAGATAAAACGAATTTAATGGTTAATTTAGTAGATTATGTTGGGTCGTCGTCAACACAGGTGTGGGGTCATCAAGCACAGGTAGTGGAGTCGTCAAGCACAGGTGGACATACTGTATCGTGTTATTTATTATCCTCTATAACAAAAGTCATGATAACTAACCATATTTCTGTTGTTTATTACACAAGAAAAAGATTCCTAGGTGAATTTTTACTTTCTGACAAAAGGAAGGTTAATCCATTGACTGTCCGCAGGCCATGTTTACCTGAGGTTATACTCCTCACTAAGCCCGTGTTTTCTCTTCATTTCCCTATAAGTTAGGTTAAGTTTGGTGGGTTGGCATTTTTGGTATAAGAATAAGTTTTCTTTCGTGTGTACTTTTGGTGTTTGACTCAAATCTGACCTTCATTTTTGTGCATATATAAACTACTAATAATAATATACACAGGTACTGCAGCTGATTGTTAGCACCAAGGTGCACACTACTCTTGTTAGGTAAATGAGATCCTTCCCAGGGATTCATACCTGGACTATTTCTGTGTCCAGTATCATTAGGTAGCGACCGTGAGCTATATGTAAAGCGGCAATAAATTGACCAACCGGCAATAGTTGTGCATCTACATGACTAGACCTGCATTCACTGAATCGGCTATGAGCCGATCATTGGTAACAGTGAAAGCTTGCACAGAGGCTTCAGTTGCATGCATGTTAGTTGATTACTTTTTTTACTGCTGTTTAAGACTGTGCAATGGCCCTATTCTGTTTCATGACTGCTTCTGAAACTGCGTTCATTCGTTTCCCTAGTTTAGCTACATCTTCTGCAGTTGCCGTACCAAATAGGGTGTTACTTAATAACTCGACAAAATTAAATAGACCACGGTTTTTATGAGAATGCACATTGTTCCTGACGTCTTCAGGAGTCGTGGGCAGCTTTCCCTCCAAGTGCATACACATTTGAGTAGACGCTTCATATAGGCGTTATGAAGTGAGATGGTAGACTGTTGTTTGAGATCTTGTGTACTTATAGCTGTTTCAATGTGGACAGCTATTGACCTCAGGCATATATCACTAAACTTTGGTGCTGGTACTTGACAGTTACGACATCTTCCACTATAAGTACTTTGCTCAGTGGGGCAACTAAAGCTTTGGATTTGATGATGTTTGCTGGGGATGCAGCTGTTGCCACAGCGTTCCATGCCAACAGGAGTAGCGATATCCAAGCCATGCCTGAAAGGGGTGAGGATAATTAATGTTTTTTGTTTGCTGATCACAGTTTTTGATGATATTTATTGTCTATTGTTGTGATGTATTGTTTATTGTTGTGTTGAGCAACTGTCGTAGTAGAAGTAGGCTGTAATTAACGGACATTAGGGGTCCCTACTAAGTGTCTGCTAACTTTTATCATTCTATCTACATGAACTATGTCAGTGACATTTGTCGTTGGGTCAACTACATGAAATTTGTTTCCATGTTCTTTTCCTTTAATCAGGTAGGGACCTGTGAATTTAGGCAAAAGTTTTGATGTACGTTCCGGTGCTTTTGTCGTTACTGCGTCTCCTATTTTTGGAGTTACAGGCTTGGGTTTTTATGTTGCTTGCAGATCATTTCAGCACGTGAGGCTGTTAAATGCTTTTGTACTTTTTCATGAATGCTGTGAAAACATTGATTTGCTTCTTGGCATGGTCATCCATGTTGCATACAGGTTGTGGGGTTCCTGCTAGTTGATCATAGAGCAAGCATCTATTGGCACCATAAATTATGTAGTATGGCTATTTTCCTGAAAAGCTATTGATAGATCCATTGATGGATTCTGCTACTTGTGGAAGCCAGTCCTTCCAGGAACTGTGCATCGGATTCACCACGTGTCGAAGAATCTAAAGAATTTTACAATTTGTACGCTTGACGAACCCATTTGAGGATGGATGCAGATTTTGCAAAAAGGTGCCTTTTTGGGTTTGGTTCCTGTGGTAGGGTTGTCCCTTAGAACTGGTTATGGGCGCTAATAGCAGAGCCCTAGGAGTACAATATTTTATGGCATATAAAACACACTATTTTGTCTGAAAGGGGGCTAAAAAATCAGCCTGCGTCCTATTTGTGAAGTTGTCTCCCGTAAGCTAATGAATTCCCCCAGTTGCTGTCTCCAGAAGGCTAAATTCTACCTAACCTAACTCCACAATTAAAAATGGTTTTGCTTACTTTACACATTATTTTTAATTAATTAAAAGATAATTACGTATCGTAAAAATAAAAGCCGGATTTATAATTACTGTACTGATGATAACCCGAGATAATTAACGTCTGTATGCCCAACTCTTGAGAGGCAGCTAAGCAGTAACCATTTATGAACAAGCATTACTATCTATTAATGCCATACCTGCCACATTTATTTTAAAATCTACAAAGACCTGATACAAATGAAAATTTACAGATAACTCTCTTTTCACCATTACATCTGTTAACATTGGTGGCGGCATTGTAGGCAACAGGCTAGTGGGCCAAGCTGTTGTTTTTCAACTGGTATTTTCAGGTAGATATAGTATACGCAGCTTTTTTCATTTGCATTTACCGATATACATGCACACACCATCCTACATACATACAGTGAAAAAAAATAAAAGAAATAATTGTTTTAAGGACAAACACATAAAAGGAATATACTGTACACGAGTTAGCTGGCTCAGTGGGGGAGCTGGAGGATGGCTGGTGGTGGTGTGTTGGTAGGGAACCGACCATAGCAACTATGGTAAACAGGGAGTACAGTATGTTGACTGTGTTAAACTGCCATAAAGCTTTTATTTACTGGTTTGGCAATAGAGTATTTTTGCTGTATCTTTATTGGTATTATTTTGATATATTCCTCACATTTACTGGTACTGTGGATACATTAGTTTTTTCTTAAATACTCCCTGGTAAAATGGGGGAAAGGCTCTCATCCCATTGTAATTTCCCTTGTAATATTTGCACCTTGGCCTGGCCTTATCTTGAACTAGGTAACAGTTAAATCTGAATGACAATATGTGGTGACTGGTGCCAACTGGGGCAAGATGTTCCAGTTTGGCCACCATACCCTCCTCATTTGTTATGATGAGGTCTAGTGGCTTGGGTGTTTGCTCCCCTCTGTAATGTATCGGGTCTCTAACATGATGGAACAGAAAATTATCTCTCAGAGTTTCTAAAAAACGAGTAACAGGGTTATTCAAGTCATTTCGGGTGAACTCGTTTTTCCAGTCTGTGTCGCCATAGTTAAAGTACACATGATATGGAGGTGGCTAGGGTTGAGCATTGCTGCAGTGTCTATTAAGGCTCTTAAGTTCCTTTGATTTAGTGGGCCACAGTTTGGGGATCTGTAGATACACCTGACGATAAGTAATTTAATTTTACACCATTTGGACTCTTCAAAAACATCCTCTCCCTGTACTCTCACCTGGCTGACTCTAAGGTCTTGCCTAGCATAGATAACCACACCCCTCTTGCAAGTTTTTTGAGAAAGGATCGTAAATGAGTCATATCCAGCTATACTGAACTCGCATTCCTCTGGGTCAATTCTCCTGTTCTTGTACTCTCTCTTATCAAGAAACATGTCAGAATTAGTGTACATAACATTCGAGCCAGAATTTGTTCTCGGTAATGTGTCTGCTCTTAGTAGCAACACCCCCCCCCCCATTCTCAAAAGCTGCAGCATTTGCTAAGTACACTGTATGTCATTGTTTACACCGTGCTCGCCTCCTCCCGGGTGGGGGGTAGAGCGGGTGGAGGGTGCGCTGTTGACACACTTGCTTCCACTATCCTCTCCCCGTTCCTCCTCGACTCATCCCTTCTCTGCTTCAAGCCCTGCAGGAGCTTCCTGTGCTGTTCCCTCTGCATTACCGTGCATTCTGGGTGAATGAATACACTCCAAGATGCCTCGCTCCTTGCTAAGTTTTTTGCCTGCCGAATAACCTTCCATTTCTCCTCCTCACTCACTAGTGTGATCCTGAGGGGACCAGGCTTATCTCCCTGCTATTGTCCCAGCCTCCTCACATCCTGGAGGGTTGATGGCATTTTCAGAACCTCTGTACAAATATTCTTAAACTACATCTTATCGTGTGTTATCTTACTCTAAGTTCCCTCCGCCTGGCTCTCAGGGACTCCAAAAACTATTACATTGTTCCTGCGCTGGAAACGTTCCAGTTGTTCCTCCTCTCCCCTAACAGTAGGTCCGTTAATTTCCATTTCTTCGACACACTGCTTCAGGGTTCCTAGCTGCTGTAGAACCTGTTCTGATCCTAAATTACTCTCCCCCACCTCCAGTAGCCCTGCTAATGCCTCGGCATAACTTCTCTTAACAACTACCTCCATTATATCGGCTACTTCCTCAGTCTTAGCAAGGATGTCTTTCCCAACTTGTCCTAGTTTGGCAACCAGCAAGGCTCTAGCGTCATCTATTTTCGTCCCTAGGGAACTCGTTCCCCTTTGGCTTGCAATCGCCTCTTTCACCTTGACTCTGCAGTCAGGGCAATACCAGCAACAGCCTTCATGCTTTACAGCAGCTTGCATCGTCCTAAATGTTGCATTAGTCAGGCCTGTATCATCCATATCTGTTATCCCCGCATTAATCTCATATCATACTCATGGTTGTTGTTGTTTGGGGGGGGGGGTGCAGACTGTGTATAGATCTACATTTATTTAAGAATAAAGAAAAAAAAACAGTACTTAGCTGCCCTCTGCTGGTTTTATCCTCCCCTGTTGCCTTTAGGGTTGTCTTCTCTTATTTTTTTTCAGTTCACTTCTGCAATTTGTCAGTATTTACGTGCTATCTCTATGTACACTGCATTGTGCTATGACTAATGGATTTTATACACCCTTTCAGTCCTTAAGAAACCCAGAAAAATAAAATAAATCTTTCTTTGGGGCAGTAATAGACTGCCTTTTAGGATGGCCAAACTTGTTGTTTTTATTTTAACTATTATTTCCTTATACTACAGTACTTTCTTTTCCCGTTCACGTCTATATCTCTTGGTGCTATCACTGTGTACACTGTATCTCCCTGTGAATGGTGTATTGTAGGCACAGTTTCAGTCCATGAGAAAACACACAAGCAAAATTTTTGACCAAATATACTTTTCTCTCAGAATTGGAATTTAAGAGGTTTAACTAATTAGGTACATACAGAATAACACACACACCTAAATCTCACCTTGGAAACCCATAGCTGGCGAGTAATTAACATTGTGAACCTTGGTATTTTTTTCATTACCAGTTGGGATCAGGAGACTTTATGGAGAGATGAGTGATCCAGAGACCATTAGCCTGGTCCAGGGGTCAGCAGTCTGTTGGTCTTAGGACCAGTATTAATCTGGTTTAGGGACCCCCTTTATTTTTCTAAATTAGTGTAATGTCTGAAATGTTTAGCCTAATTATAGGTCAAGGATAAGTTGTCCTAATTTATTTAGTATGGATCAGGAAGCTAATTCTAGGACTGTAGTTAGCCTGATTAAAACTGCACAGCTTGTTACCTCAAAATACCATGTGCATTGGGTATGTGTGGCCTCCCTCACAGGTTCACTGTCAAATCTCTCATCTGGAAGTTTTTGACCAGAGAACTGGAAGAGAATTCTCTCTGGAGGAAAGAACTTCAGATGACCCTTACCTCTTAGCTCAGAGATCAGGTTATTTTGCTAGGAGGTGCCTTTTGCTTGGACCAGCATTAGTTGTGCAGAGAGGTGCTGGTAGCCTAAGGGATGGTCGTGCACCAACTAGTGTTTAATAAAGTCATCATACAAATTTATATTTGTTCATCATGTACTACAAATACACAATGTAAGTCCACTAAACCAAGGATAATTTAGGAAGGACATCCAAAGATTATTTCCATTAAAGTATGGGATAAATAAATTGTTAGTTAGTCATTAAAATTACCATCCAAGTTCACATTGGCTCTTGTGTTGTGAAGGTGTAAATATTAACTAACTCCTTGTAATTCTGCACTAATACACTTGTCACATACATACATACACACCATTGTTAAGTATTTTATCTAAGTGCCATACATATTAGGGTGTGAACTGGCTAAATTGAAAATCGAGTAATTTGGTAGCAATTTATTGTAGTCTTTAAGCATGCAAAACAATATTCTGGCATAAATTTTTTTTTATAATAAGTCCTACCTACATCAAATGGATTTTTAAATGTACATATTTGTGAATTTATAACATAAATGTACATATTTGTGAATTTTTAACATAACCAGCGTTTGCACACATGTTACTGTTTCAAGTTTCAAATTATTATATTTTATTATCCGTAGTCTATTTGAAAGTAACCAATGCCTTCATACTCTCTTTGCTTTGGTTTCTTGTCATCAGTAGTCTGCTTGCTATTTGTGCTTTGATGTAACCTTCTCGCCTCTCGTGGCTGTAAACATGGCCCGCTGCTTCTGTGACCATTTTCACACATCTCTCCACACTTTGAGTGTGGGAAGGCCACTTCAGCACCTGCATTGGAGTCTCTTTAAGGTTTCTCAATTCTTGGCTAGTTAGACTTGTTGTCAATGGTGGCTCTAAGACTTCCAAACTCAAGTCAACCAATTCTGACAATTTGGTGGCATTGACGTTTATTGGGGGAACTTTTCTTGAATGAAACGAACAGTCTCCCAACTGGTCGTCATCTATTAGCGTTCCTCTAATCTTTAGAATGACTTCTACAGCCTCGGTTCGGAGATTGGTACATTGACTGCAAAGCATTGCTTGCAAAACTGCTTCTGATCGAGCATACCAAGCTGACCTTCTTGCCACAGGAAACACGATGTCCCTCACTACCTTCCTCTGTGTTCTTACTAGCTGCAATTGAAACAAAAGGTGATTGGGCCAGCATATTTATAAATGTTTACATGAATGTGGTGTAAAGTTGTTAACAAGACAGGCACCTGGGAACAGCTGGCTGGGCTGCAGCAGCTCGGTCAGTGAATGTCACTAGATTTATCGGCAAAATTGCTAAATACAAAATAATCTGGAGAAATACCATTACATATAAGACGTTATCTAACACGAGAATTGTTAACAATGGCTTTGATAAATGCCAAAAAAAACTGTCACAGGTGGCATTAAAGGTAGACGGCGTAAACAACGCTAAACTGGCAACTAGGAGGTCAACATATGAATGACCACTATCTCTGTTGTACAGTAGTCAGTATACTGCACATTATGTTCACACAGACTCAAGTACTAAGTACCATAGAATGTTGATGCACAGCTGGCACAAAATTAATGGTCACTTTCCTATCTGTATACAACTGTTAGTACAGTGTATTTCCATATAGATATTCAATGAACAAATAATTGATGGGTCTTATCCCACAAAGGGTAGGTTAAGACAATATGAAACTCATCTTAATTGTGAAGTTAAACAGATTATAAGGATCGTCAGTTCATTTTCCTTCAGAATTATCAGTGAAAATTATTTTTGGATCACCTCTGGCTTATTTAACCTTAAGATTAACCACCCTAACCTTACCTAACTTACTTAGTGTTAAGGTGCTTAATTCATCAGGTGATATTAATTGGGGGCTAATCTTCATGTGATCTTTGGTTTCTCTATCAAGCTCCTCAGATCAGCCATCACACCAGACCAGGACCAGGACCTGTACGAGAGAAGGAATACTGTGGTCTACCTTGCAGTATGTTATTGAGTTAGTTACTTTACAGTAGAAGTAAGTGGCCACACCAGTACTTAACAGATTATTTAACTATGTTGAGTTTTGGTGTTGCTGTGTTATTTGAACCTTTCTATAGATTTGTAAACTGACTAATGACTTTAGACGGTGTTTAAGATTAGGTTTCTAACAGTTAAAACTGTGGTTAAGTTGTGTGGAAGTGAGACAATGACTTAGCACTATGCTGAAGGTGTTTAAAAGTGAGAAAGTGACTTATAGT